TCTGTCCTGTATTATGTCTTGATAGTTTGATATAGGTTTTGTTAATACTGTCTTTCAAGATTGACAACAAGGGTTAATGTGGGACAGAATAAAAATGGTTGTATGTGTTGCTGTACTTTTCCATATCTCTAATGCATATGCATCTGTTGTCATTGTTCTGCAGTTCACTCGGATCCCCTCTGTAACTGCACCACCAGCACTTGCTCCATGTTCACCAGCAGCCTCTACTATCTTTATCCCTTCAACATCGAGTACCACATCTTTGTCTCTGCCATGCTCTTCGTCATGTGGAAAAACATCGGGCGGACCATTGACCTTTCCTCAAACCGTAAAAGGTTGGCCACCAAAACCCGGGGCCTGTCTGTTGGCCCTCTCCTGGGTCTGCTAGCCCTGGCCAGCACTATTGGGATCCTGGTGGTCTACATCACCCATGTGGAGTCCCTCCAGACACGCCAGTCTGCCATTTCCATGTTCTACATTTACGGCATTGTCATGCTACTGTTCATGTGCTTTGCCGGGGCTTTAGGTCTTCTCATATACCGAGCGGACCACATACCACTGGACACCTCTAAGAACCCGTCGAGACAGCTGGACACAGAGCTGCTGTTTGGATCCTCTATTGGCTCCTGGCTCATGTCCTGGTGCAGCATTGTGGCTGTGTTGAGTACCAATAGCAGCCCTCCGTACCTGTGGACAAACTTCTTCTACTCTCTGCTGATTGTGCTGGAGAAGTACATGCAGAACCTCTTCATCATAGAGTCTCTTTACCGCCAGCAAGGGGACGGAGAGAGGGAGGACCCAGAGTTACCGTCTGCTCCCGAAATATTCTCCGTCACCTCCTCTTTAGCCCCGCCATACAACGGCATCATCAACCGAGCTTATGAGACACCAGAGAAAGCCTGCGTTACCATGGAGAATGAGCAGGAGGAGAGCGGGCAGGTGTACAGATGTCCGAGGAAACCGTCAGAGGTACCTCTGCCTGTGGGGAGCAAAGTTGTGGAGACTCCAAATATAAAGAGGCAAATCCTGAAGAACATTTCTGTCTTCCTCATAATGTGCAACATCTCTGTGAGTATATATGAATTTAAGTTTAAGTGTGATTTACCCATCTACATTTCCACCTGTCAGCTGATTGTTTTGGTTGTTCGGCTCGCTGCTATACTCTTTGGTCTCATTTCTCTCATCCATCTTT